TATGATTAGACATTTTTTGTCTAGTAAACATCATATTTTTGGCTTTCTTTTAGTTTCTTGTCCTTTGGGCTCTGTTTATTTTCCTTTGCAAGTCATTTCTTAATAATTTAAGCTATCAGTTTGAACAAACTTCCTCTTTGATTTTTTACTTTCTTCTCTTTTTTTTTTTTTATTGTGCTCCTTTTTCGAAAGCCTCTTGTTTAATCTTTGAATTTCTGATATTACTGTGTAATATTTCACTCAATATAGGTGGTTCAGCAAAATATTTAGCTCCCTAAAAACATAGAAGAGGAAATTTCAAAATCATTAAATCCCCAAAGTATATAGTGTATAAATCACAGATTTTTACTAAACAAAAAATGTCTAATCATGAAATAAATTAATAAATTTTTGAACCTTAATTAATTATGTTTTTATATGAAAAAAAGCCTCTCATTTTTTACCTAAGAGCACTCTCTAGTTGTTGGAGAGATTGTATAAGCAATTGAGTCAAATTCTCTTAGCAAAAGCAACGACTCTTCCTTTGCTATCTTTGCTTGATTCGATTCTCCTACGCTCTAAAACCAAAAATAGAATCGATATCCTCTGTTTAAGGTCCAATCTAAAACTAAAGATTCGATTCTCTAGAATTTCTAATTTTTGTACTGTCTATTTTTCAATAGTTAGTGAAGCGATTATCAGAGTCAAAACCTTCAGTCTTTTGATTAAGAAGTTCAAGTGGCGCAATTATCCTTGTAACACCCACCGCCCAGTCCCGAGAGACCCGACGGCGGATGTCACATGACAATTATCCTTGTAAACAAGCCCACTCCGCCCGTTCCGAGAGACCCGACGGCGGTATGTCACATTCGGTGCTCGAGGGCCACGCGCTTAACTTACATATAAAATCAGAAATACCTTAGTATGAATTAGAAGTGATTTTTTATTCAGCAAGTTTAACAAGTAGTATTATTTTTTTTAAAAAAAAAAAAAATTGATTTGGGAAAACCTATAGAAAAACTGCAAGAGTTCCCCTAAACATAAGAACATTTGCCGAAACAGTGGTAGAATACAGAAAACACTCCCAATTTCAAAACTCCCAAAACTCAAATCAAACTCCAAGAACAAAACAATAACACTCTTTTCTAAGTCTAACTACAACATTTAGCGTTTATGCATCAATTAGATACATTTAGTTAAACATGGATTACTTTGAATTTTCTGCACAATAAATAAGATTCCAAGTCTATCTTCCAATAAATACACCACATTAAATTTACATAATAATACTTACAGTTAAATTACATGATTAGAGTCTCAAAAATGGATACTTTAATAATCATAATACTTAAGTAATAACACACTAAATTCAACTTTACCCAAATATCTCTTCAGCTTTGATGCTACTCTTTTGGTCTTCAATCAGAAGTAGACTCCAACCTTACGCGTGATAAAAGTCACACGGCTGGAGTATAAACTCAGTGGTGCTCATAATAACACAACAAACCAACTGTCTGCGATGGCAACACCACTTAAAAATATCATATTTTCATCAAAAGATTTACAATTCATTAAGATCTATTAACGCTTTAACTATACATGTTACTATTATATTAACAAAATGATCAATTAAAACTTATAATATTTTATCGTTCAAAGTCATAAATTCATTATTTTGAAATTGCTAGTTACAACAAATTACATATTACTGGTTATTTTAGAAAAACCATGTAACGATAATATCCTGCTTTGACAAATTCATTTAATAACATTTATAATCATATTTCCAAGCTACCTTTGGAAAATATGTTTACGAAGGGCTCACATTACATTTAGAGAGAAAAAGAACGCAGATAGCGTTTTCAGAACAGATTTCGAATGGCTCTTAGGTCGCGCCAACAGATTCGGTAAGCATATAGAGGGCGTCCGCCCTAACAGAACAGGAAGACACCCACGTGTCTAGCATATGATCATCACTTCTTATCAGAATGCATTCAAATGCCAGCATGCTCATCAGACAGAATAAAAATCAAATTCACGACTCAAATTTCCATAAGTATATTTAGAGCCCAAATCCGTTATTTAATTTTTACTATATCACTTATCCAGAAACTTGCTTATTCGTTAGTCTTCCTATAATTCATAACTTAAGCTTTACTTTGAATCTACTTAAATCATAATTTACTTATAACATAGCAATTTCTTATCATATGAAATCATACATTTAAGCTTACTTTAGACTAAAATTTCATACTTATGCATAATTACTTAATATAGGAAATTTTTCATAAATTCCTTTTCTTTTAAAACTTTCTTAAAGTCATAATGAAATTTATCAGAAGAAATTTCTTATCATATAAAATCATATTTTCCTTATTCAAAATTCAAAGCACATACACCTTAAATACCCTTTTTTTTTAAAAAAACTCTAAACATATGAAGGTTATCAAAATAATCATACTTATGTCATATATATAGAAAAAAAATAATAATTAAGTAAGCCTTACTTCCCTTAGGTGGTTTGACCTCTTAATGAAAACCAAGGGGAGGAAATTTTCTTCTCTAATCAAGCATGCTAACATAACTACTATATACAAAAGTATCCATTTCAACCCTCATCATGCATTATCTAAATCAATTCCACACCTTTCCAATTTATATCCATTTAAACATATCCACAACAACGCTTTTCAAACTTATTTCTTATTTTTATCAAATAAATCTTAAAGAATCAAGAGAACTTCATCACACATGATTCATTCATACCCTTATCCAAATAAACCTATGATTTAAGACATAGGAAATTTCCAGCATTAAAATAACCTTGACCTTTGCTGGGTTTTTAAGACATAACTTGATGATCCTTTGCTGGGTTTTGTATAGACATAATTTGAGTATAGATTCTCCAATTCAATGAAATTAGATTCATTAGAAGCTAAGACAAAGAAAATTCTACAAACATTATGTGAGGGACACACACGCCCAGATCTATAATATTGAATGTAGGAAAAACCAAAATAGGAACACAGGACCAAAACAGTCAGACCTGGATTCAGCCAGGAACTTAATTCCATGTTAGTCAAATTTCCTCTTAATTCCAGACTCTCAGAATCAAAACCAATCCAAAAACCCAGAGGAAGTCCAAGACACAGGGGGCAACAAACTGTCTCATGAAGATACCAGAACATAATCTATTCATTATGGTGGTCAAAAGGGGCACTCACTTCAGTGATGATTGTTTAGCCCGTCAAACCAGACGGTCAGTGTTGGGATGTTTTCAGCCATCAAAGGTTGAAGCTTATATATATCCAAATTGGACGCAGAGGATGGGTTGGAAATAGATAAGGAGCAGACCTACATACTTTTCATAAGGACTCAGACAACTAATTGGAAATGGCAATGGATCAGAATATTAGTCCTTGACATCACACCGCTAATAACATTTTCTTCCTTTAATTTCAGCCTTTACTTAATATCATATACAAGGTAGAGATTTCTTCACCAACTATAAAATTACTCATCAAATATCATCTTAAGATCATTCAACATCCACAAATAATAACAAGAACAACTTTAAGCCTTTATCATCAATAGGGTTCTGCCCACTCTTGGAGGATTGAAGAAGAAAATGTTGTTCCTTTCATAAATTCAACATTATAGGCTGCTTAGAAATCTTCCCAAGGAACACATTATACCAACCAAAGTTCAATAATTCAATCATTTCATATCAAATTTCCCAATTTTCACAAATAGTATAAACTTCACAAAATCAAAAATTGTAAATAAGGTAAGAGTGGTTGAATGAACATAACCTTAAACATAAGCCTCTAACAAGCTTAATAAGATTCTTTGATGTTGCGTTTTGAGCTTTTTCCTTGTCTTTGGTAGGAAGTTCTCACCCTTTGTCCTCCAATACTTGAAATGTATTCACCAAATTATCTCTCAGCTTTAAATTGTGCAAAGAGTTGAGTGTGGAAATTATGGGATCAGTTGAATTGGTGTCGAATTTGGGTGGATTTAGTGAGTTATAAGTGAAGAAAAGGCAAAGAGAAGAGAAAGAGAAGGCTTCAATTGAAAATGGAGGAGAAGAGAACAGAAGTTCAGCGTGTATGAATGGATTGAGGAAGAGAGAAAAAACATTTGTTGCCTCAAATAATAGGAATTGAGACGTAAAGGGCGTAATTGGTTCGCTTTCACCAAAATTGGTGGGCTGAGGCATTGAAGCAATGTTAATTCAATGCTATGGCTTAACAAATATTCTCCAAATTAAGATTCCTTTCAAAATATTGGCTTTTTCTCCAATAAAAATTCTATAAATTTAATCCTTAAAAAGCTTATTCCTCTAATTTCCTTAGCTTAAGGATATAAACACCATCGTGCAAATTTACTCCATTTTAATAAGATATTTCTTAATTCTTATAAATTAATTTATACAACATAATCACTTATTCACTAATTCTCTTAATTTTCTCCAAAAAATATTCAATTTACTTACTTTCTACCCATAAAATAATGGTATACATACTCCAAAAATACTTAAAGAAAATATTAACATTACAATAGTAATTTTTCCGGGACAAAAATAATATTAATTTCTTCGGACCGATGATACTATTCACCAGACCCGGAACTTTACTTTTATTTCAGACACAGAAAAATTGGGGCGTTTACATCCGGACAAAAATAATATTTATTCTCGGACCGATGATACTATTCACAGACCGGTAACTTACTATTTCAGACACAGAAAAAATGGGGCGTTACAATCCTGAAGTTGGTAAACTTCAATACCTGACACGCTCAAGCAATTAGTCAACAGTAATTATTTTTTCAGTGCGAACCATTGTTGGCACGCTCGGTGGGACACCGCTATTGCAACTTTCATTTCTTTTTTTTTTTGAACTACTATCTCTGAAGTTCACAAATGCCTCAAAAAACACGCTCTGAAAAAGGAAATTACTGGATCATAGGACTTAGATGAAGGACATGCTGCAGGTCTTGAAAATGTTATTCCATATAACATGGAACATGTTGAAGGAGGATATAATCCTCAAGAAGAAGGAGAGATTCCGATTCCCAATCCCAAACCCATAGAAATTGAACGTATCTTGGTTATTGAACAAAACCAGGAGCATGATAAGCCGGTTCCTGTATCTGTATCTTTTCCTGATACTAATTCTTTCTTTGTAGTTGAAGTCTTGAAGAAAGGCCTAGAGAAGCAGACATCGACTCTCTTGGAAATGATGAAACTGTTGTTTGAGAAGTTTTCTTCTCCTGGATCTCCTGTCCTTTCATCACCTAGTGGGAGACAGGTGAGCAAGGACGAAGAAGTAGATTCTGCTTCTAAGAGTAGCAAAGAGCTTGGGGGGGCACCAACCTCGAGGTTCCTCGGGTGGCACTGAAGCAAGTCATATCCAATTAGAGGAGAGGTATCAACCTCCATATAAGAGGGAGGAACAGATAACATTGTCATTTCAATCTAATTGCCCCACTGGCAGGACTCAGGGTCATCCCCATATCCATAGTCACACAAATCCTACAACTTATCTAGGAGTTTATATGACTTAGAAATTGTATCAGTACGTACACCAGATACCCTAGGTGATAGTTGGCTTGGGGGACAATGATGGTTCCAGAGTAATTGCTCCAATTGCATGTAACTTTGTTCCTCCTACTCCTCAGGTTATAATGGAAGCCTTAAGGATGTTGTGCAGAGCTTTATGGGCCTGGCCTCAGACAAATTGGCTGCCCAAAATTTTAGAAACCATATCCTGAAGTTGTTGATATGGAGAATCCTTACCCCAGAGGGTATAAAATTCTTGACTTCACTTTACTTTCTAGTGAGGATGGACAGTCTACCCTAGAGCATATTGCGTCCTTCACCACACAGCGTGGGGACCTGGCAAACCTGGACAACTTCCCTTATTACAAGCTCAAACTGTTCCCAAATTCTCTTATAGGTACTGCCTTTACTCGGTATTCCACACTTCCCAGGAATTCTGTTTGTATTTGGCAAGAAATGGAGAGGCTATTTTATACAAAGTTCTTTAAAGTTGAACCTGAAGTATGTGTAGCCAAGAGATTAAAGTGGTGAGTCAGCAGATACATTCATTGCCAGGTTCAAGAGATTAAGAAACATATGCAAAGTATTCTTACTAGAGGCAGAATTTATAAAGATGGCACAGCGCAGCTTGGACTTTAAGTTGCGAAAGAAGTTTCAGGGAATGGAGTTCAGTACGAGTTGTTGCAAAGGTGGCTGAATATGAGAAACTACTCAGAGAGGAGTTACAAAGGAACAAATCAACTTTGAATACCTACTTCCAAGAGACTCATCAGAAGTGGTCGTTGCTAATTTGGTCAATTCTAATTCCTATATTTGTCCCTGTATTTAGGTACCTATAAAAGGGGGCTCTCAGAAGACGTTTCATGTGAACTCTGAAATTGAACCTCAATATGCTTTTGATGTTTTCAAAATTGAGGATATTTTTTATTTTCTGCTCAAGGAAAAATTCATTACTCTTCCAGCCAACCATACGATTCCTACTAATGAAGAATTGAAAGGAAGAGATTACTGTAAGTATCATGATACTTGGAGTCATGCTACTAATAATTGTTTGTCTTTTAGGAATACTATTTGGGATCATATTAACAAGGGTGTCCTTAAATTCCCTGAGAATGAGTCAATATCGAGAGATGATGATCTTTTTCCCCTTAAAAGTCACCTGAGCAAAAATAATAAATAAATAGTGGGATAAAAGGTCGATCCCACAATAAAAAAAAAAAGAAAAAAAATCGATGTTGCATGTTAAAAAAAGAAAGAGCAAGTTCTATGAACTTGGCTTCACTAAAAAAAAAAGGAGAGAAAGAAGAAGAAACTTTTTATTTGTTTAATTAGTATTAAGAGATAAGTAAAATATTGTTTTGTTTAGGTAATAAATACTGTTGTTTAATTTTGTAATTAGCTTAAAAATTATAGATAAAGATTTGATAAAATCTCAAAATATTTAGTAGTTGAGTTAAGATTGAGTTCTTATAAATTTTAAATTATTTGAGTTTTAAATGGATTCAAACACATGGAGAATGGCCTATGCATGGGGACAATTGTGTACACCATATTTTAATTATTCTTGTGTTATAGATTTGACTTGTGATTTTATGATTTATTTGGGCTTAATTAATTAGTTGGCCTTTAAAATATTAGAGGCCTATAATTAATTAATTAATTAATTAATTAATAAGTAAATAAATATATTGAGAGTTAATAGGAGATGGTTAACAGAGAGATCAAGTAACTGCTCACGCACGATAGGGAGAAGTTACCTGAGCAGTTATCTTAGCAGTTGAAATGTAATGTGCATAAAAGTGTTAATAGTCAAATACCTATAAAAGCTAAACTCAAGCACAGAACAATGCCAACAATCAAGCCCAACAAATCAACTCCACAAAAAAAAAAAAAGAAAAAAAAAAAAAAAAAATTTTATCTTAGCAGTTTGAAAATGTATGTGCAATAAAAGTGTTAAATTAGTCGAAAATACCTATAAAAGCTAAACTCAAGCCACAGAACAATGCCAACAATCGCAAAGCCCATACAAATATCAACATCCACAAAAAAAAAAAAAAAAAAAAAAAAAAAAAAAAAAAAAAAAAAGACTCAACTACAATCTCAAGCAAGTAGCAATTTCAATTTCATTTATGTTTATCGTAATTTTTTTTTCTAGAATCATCCAAGAATTATCATTTGTTATTCCATTCATTGTTAATACAGTATTTCAATTTCAAAGCAATTTCTATTTGCTGTGTTATTTCTCTAGAATTTCTAGTTTCTACACTGTTTATTTTCCAACAATTGGTGAAGCGATTATCGTAGAGCCAAAACCTTCAGTCTTTTGATTAAAAAGTTCAAGTGGAGCAATTTATCCTGAAATTGATAAACTTCAATACATGGCATGCTCAAGTTGTTAGTCAGTTGTAATGAGTTTATTCAAGCATTTTGTTTATCTGTTGTTCTAAGTTGCAAATTTAAAATAAATAAATAAGTTAATTAAGTAATAAAAAAATTACATAAAAGAAACATTATATCCTCTAAAGAAATCATTATATTTCCTCTCCAAATAATCCACAATTTTTTTATACAAACGCATATAAAAAAAAAAAAAGAGTAATACCTTCTTTTATTTTATATATATTATATAAGTTTATTTATTTTTATTTATTTATTTATTCAAAATATAAAATGTATTTTTTTTCCTCTTAACGCATAGTTATCCTGAAGCCGCACTGGACTAAAATTTAAATTAACCTACTGCGCATCACGCCCATGTCAACATAAGAGGAATAAAATGCTCCCAGCGGTATTTTTTATTTATTTATTTATTTATTTATTCAAATAATAAAATGTATTTTTTTTCCTCTTAACCATAGTTATCCCGAGCCCACTGGACTAAAATTAAATCCTACTCGCATCAGGTCAACATAAGAAGGAATAAAATGCTCCCAGCGGTATTTGCTTCATTCATGAGGATCAAACCCTCGACCTCACATAAGGGAAAAAAGTGTCGAACCACACATTCAAACACTTGTTGGTATAAAATGTAATTTTTGAATTGGTTACGACTACAGCTATTTTAGAATATTCTAAATTTCATTAAGGGTGATATCGAAAATTTTATTATTCTCTCTATTCCACATTTATATATGGTATAGCTAGGTCTAGAATATTTTTAAAGCAATGCATTATTTCAAAATGCGGCTCATATTTATTTAGGGTCGTATTTATTATTTCAAACTTTTCATTTTCTTATATTGAAATTATTTATATTCCATGTCATTGTTGAAATTCATTGTAATCTATTTTTATTCTCTTGAAATTCTCATATAACTAGTCATCAGTCTGCATGATGTGCACGTTACTTAGAAATAATTCATACCAATTAAATTAGCTTGAAAAATATAAACAAATTCATATGATAGAAAAAATAATATTTGTTTATACACTTTTGTTTACTCTTTGACTATAATAACAAAAACTGCTAATCTAATTTTTTCTATAAAATTTAAAAATGATAAAAAAATTCTATAATAATAAATTATAAACAATAAAGTCTCTAAACAAAAATAATAAATATAAATATTATTTTTATAAATTAAAACAATTACTTGAACTATAAATTACCTGAATGAAAAAAGAAATAAATTTCAAAAATCATTAATCATGAGTGTCTTTTGCTCAATGTATTAATTTTTATCACTATCTAAAAATATGTTGAATATAAAAAAAATAAGAATTTGTATGACAAATTTAAGAGATGTAGTACTTATATAGATAGTACTCAAAAGAGAATTTAGATTTTTTTTTAAAAAAATAGAGGATAATTAAATTATAAAATAATAAAATATTATAAAAAATTAATATTATGGTTATAAATTATTGAAAAACCTAATTGGTGTTCTATTATTAATAAAAAATTCTTCTATTTGGATTATTAATTATTGCAAAAGAAAGGAAATAAAGAATTTTTTATTAATGAAATAAATTCATTATATGGTTATTAATTATTGAATAAAATAATAAAAAATTTTGTAATTTGATTTCTTCAAATTAGATAATTGAATAAAAATATTAAAATTCCAAATCATCAATTAAGTTTCATGCCACATAAGCAAATTTGATTGAGTTTTTACATATTTATATAGATATAGATAGATATAGATAAGCTAAAATTTTTATCAGCATAAAAATTATTGTAATTAAATTATTTATAAAAAGATATAACTGTAATGTAGTAAATAATTTATTAATTTTTTGTAATTATTTTGTTTATTTAGTTATTAATATTATGTTATATAGAGTTGTGATTGGGAATAGCATTTTATTTTAATTACTTGTGTTTTTTGACATTTAAATTATGTTTTCATAAGCCATTTAAACTTTTTTTTATTTTGTCGTATTAACTTTTTTTTTTTTTGAGTATTGAGAGAAGGCGATTCGATTCTAGATTTATTGTTAGGTCATATGTGCACTTACCACTAGACTATGCATTGTTATACATTTTGTAACTATTATATATACATATATAATCATAGATATTTAAAATAATTTATAAGTATCTTCTTGATTCTTAAGTATTAATCTAAAATATATGGAGAACAATAAATTATTGTAACTGAACTGATATAATTATTACTTAGTCCTTTCAAGATTATTATATATTTCCTTCGTCTCAAAATATAAGTCATTTAAAGTTTTTACACAAGCATTAAAAAATAATTAATTCCCTTAAATTATAACAAAAATAAGACTAATTTGACCAAACTATTCTTTATCCCATATTATTATTTATATCTCGCATTATTATATTTTATTTACTAAACAAAAGGATAAATTTGGAAAAAAAGATGATTTATTACCTTTTAAAATACTCAAAATGACGTATATTTTGGATAAAACTGTCACTCTAAGATGACTTATATTTTAAAAGGAGGGAGTATTTAATTGTTACAGTTATTAATGTAAGAAAGTCATATGCACCTTTTTAAAAAAAAAAAAAAATATGCACAGATAATTTGTGGAACAGTTATTAATGTAAGAAAACTATATGTTTTTAGAAAATTATATGTAAGAAAACACATATAATTTGTGTTCTACGTCAATGATCTAACATCAACCAACCAATGGAAAGTAAACACGAGAAAGATACAGTGGGATTATAGAGAAGTGAAATGGTTAATTATCCTCACCCTTTCATGCATGGATATAGCTCCGGTGAGCAAATGGTCGGTTCGATTCAAATTAAATTGAACCATAAAATATAAACTGAATGTTTTTATAATAAATTGAATTGAAATTGTATATGAATTGAATCAAACCAGTTGATTTGATTTATTTTTATCGGTTTTTACCATTTATCAGTACGGTTTTAAGTCCAATAGATGAATACCTGAATGAACCGATTAATTAAATCTCTCTTGTTTTGAACCGATTAATCAAACCTCTCCTAAATATCTGACTGAACCAAACCAAACCAAAACGTGTCAACCAGTGAATGGACTAATATCAACCTACGAATGTAAAGTAAATGCAAGAAATATACAACT